ACTTGCTTGAATCGAAAGGTAGGTATTTTCCGTGCCTTTTTTTTTTGTATAAGTTGTATAATAGATAATATGTATAAAGTGAACCTTCAATAAAACTATTATTATTTTTAAAAAAATAATAGGTGCATTCAATTGGAATTGAAAGGGAAGATTTCTTTATCTGCCTCTTATTTCTCTTTATATTAGTTGTATAATACAGTAGAGAGCATTCATAATGTGTAATAGAATCTTCAGCCATTGACCAGAGCAGTGACAAAGAAAATCAATATAAAATGCTATATAGGTGGCACCTAGCCCCTGCAAGGTTAGCAAAAATCTATTCAAATATAAACCCAAATTGTTGGAAATGTGGTCACCGCCAGGGTACCTTCTTTCACATGTGGTGAACATGCCCCGAAGCGAAAAGATATTGGAGTAAGATTCAGAAATGATACAAGAAATAATTGGAGAAGATATTGAATTGGCACCGGAAATATTTCTCCTGGGAATATTAAAAAGGGCCTATGGGAAAAAAAAGGTATCTAATAATACATATTACTACAGCTGCCAGACTGATTTATGCACAATACTGGAAAGAAAAGGGATTGCCACCAGAAGAGCATATAATTAGGAAAGTATTTGAACGCGTGGAGATGAGTAAACTAACCCATGAAATAAATGAGGATGAAAACTCTTGACTACTATACTGTTTGGGAAGGGTGGTATAAATGGATGGATGATAAAATAAAGGAAGGAGTAAAGGATGGTGTGACTAATAAAAGGAATAAGTAAATTAAGAGACACTATGTATAGATTCTGTATTTATGTATAAACACTGCCTAGCCGATGCTAGTAGAATTGTAATACTATGTACTTTCATAAAATCAATAAAATTTTGAAAAAAAAAAAACAATCTTCAGCCATTTTTTTAACGTGTGCATTCTGAGATTTCTGCCATTAAAGTAGTTAATAACGGTATATTTTAATTTAAAATAAAAATAAAAATTGCAGTTATTGCACAATTTAATATTGCACAAGTTATATTTCATCAGCTAGAGTTTGACAAAAAATCAATATACGGTATGTGCAACATTGAAACACTTTTTTTTCCATATTGCCACTTGTGGATTTTTATGGTTTAGAAAAATGGAACATGAGATCAGTTGCACAGTCAGACTCCTTTCCCCCTAACCATTGCACACATACTGTAAGAATGCTAAAATTGTTTGAGGAAAATAAATGGTTTTGATCTCTTCTCATCTGAGTTGCTGCTTGTTATTGGAAGATGGAAATGGTAAGGATTTCCCCCCCCACCCTTGTTGATCAGAGTCCGCGATTTCATTTTGAATGGTCAGAAGAAGAGAAACCAAGGCAAAACCTGGAAGGAGTGAGAACTGGGATGGCTCCTGTGTGCTCCTTTGGGGAGGAGGCAGCCATTTTGTTCATGTGCCCAGATGTTTCTTCAGCATCACCAGCTCATCTTCTGTAAAATGGCCATTTGGTTTTGGCTTGGTGGTGGCAGCAACAGAGCTTTTCCCTCAAATCCACCTTTGCCTCAGGCTGTTGGCCAAGTGGCTGATCTCTGAGCCTCATCCAGGGGCCCTTTGGGAGACAGGAGTTCAATGCCCAGCCAGAGCCGTCCTGGTCCCCCTGCAGAAGGGCAGCTTCTCAGAGATCCTCTTTGGGCCCTTCAGCTGCCCAATAAGAGTGGAAAGACCCTTAATTGATGGGAAAGATGTCCCCATATTACAGTGGTTCTTTCTGGGCGAGGTAGAGCGAAAAGTGTTGGGACTTTCACGCCAATTCATTTTGGGCTTCCCAGATGCCTTCAAGAGCTGGCCATCTTTGAGCCTAAAAAGCCATCTTCAGGTGCCCAACCCAAGGTTCATAAGCCACATGCAGCCTTGGAGAGTTAGTAATCTAGTAATCAGAGCCAGTCATCTATGAAAATTAATAGACAATTAAATGGTTAACTAATAAATAGCATATGTATTACTGTCCCCTTGCAGAAGGGCAGCTTCTCCTGCTTCTCAGAGATCCTCTCCAGGCTCATCAGGTGCCCAGTATGATGCAGTGGCCCAAGAGTGGGGAGACCAGTGGTGAAATCCAATTTTGTTTACTACCGGTTCTGTGGACGTGGCTTGGTGGGCGTGGCAGGGGAAGGATACTGAAAAATCTCATTCCCACCCCACTCCAGGGGGAAAGATACTGCAAAATCCCCATTCCCACCCCACTCCAGGGGGAAGGATATTGCAAAATCCCCATTCCCACCCCACTCCAGGGGGAAGGATATTGCAAAATCCCCATTCTCACCCCACTCCAGGGAGAAGGATACTGCAAAATCCCCATTCCCATTCCAGGGGGAAGGATATTGCAAAATCCCCATTCCCACCCCACTCCAGGGGGAAGGATACTGCAAAATCCCCATTCCCACCCACTCCAGGGGGAAGGATACTGCAAAATCCCCATTCCCACCCCACTCCAGGGGGAAGGATATTGCAAAATTCCCATTCCCACCCCACTCCAGGGGGAAGGATACTGCAAAATCCCCATTCCCACCCCACTCCAGGGGGAAAGATACTGCAAAATCCCCATTCCCACCCCACTCCAGGGGGAAGGATATTGCAAAATCCCCATTCCCACCCCACTCCAGGGGGAAGGATATTGCAAAATCCCCATTCTCACCCCACTCCAGGGAGAAGGATACTGCAAAATCCCCATTCCCATTCCAGGGGGAAGGATATTGCAAAATCCCCATTCCCACCCCACTCCAGGGGGAAGGATACTGCAAAATCCCCATTCCCACCCACTCCAGGGGGAAGGATACTGCAAAATCCCCATTCCCACCCCACTCCAGGGGGAAGGATATTGCAAAATTCCCATTCCCACCCCACTCCAGGGGGAAGGATACTGCAAAATCCCCATTCCCACCCCACTCCAGGGGGAAGGATATTGCAAAATTCCCATTCCCACCCCACTCCAGGGGGAAGGATATTGCAAAATCCCCATTCTCACCCCACTCCAGGGAGAAGGATACTGCAAAATCCCCATTCCCATTCCAGGGGGAAGGATATTGCAAAATCCCCATTCCCACCCCACTCCAGGGGGAAGGATACTGCAAAATCCCCATTCCCACCCCACTCCAGGGGGAAGGATATTGCAAAATCCCCATTCCCACTCCAGGGGGAGGGATACTGCAAAATCCCCATTCCCACCCCACTCCAGGGGGAAGGATATTGCAAAATCCCCATTCCCACTCCTGGGGGAGGGATACTGCAAAATCCCCATTCCCACCCCACTCCATGGGGAAGGATATTGCAAAATCCCCATTCCCACTCCAGGGAGAAGGATACTGCAAAATCCCCATTCTCACCCCACTCGAGGGAAGGATACTGCAAAATCCCCATTCCCACCCCACTCCAGGGGGAAGGATATTGCAAAATCCCCATTCCCACTCCAGGGGGAGGGATATTGCAAAATCCCCATTCCCACCCCACTCCAGGGGGAAGGATACTGCAAAATCCCCATTCCCACCCCACTCCAGGGGGAAGGATACTGCAAAATCCCCATTCCCACCCCACTCCAGGGGGAAGGATATTGCAAAATCCCCGTTCCCACCCCACTCCAGGGAGAAGGATACTGCAAAATCCCCATTCTCACCCCACTCCAGGGGGAAAGATATTGCAAAATCCCCATTCCCACCTCACTCTGGAGCCAGCCAGAGATGGTATTTGCCGGTTCTCTGAACTACTCAAAATTTCCGCTACCGGTTCTCCAGAACCTATCAGAGCCTGCTGGATTTCACCTTTGGGGGAGACCCTTGATTTATGGCAAGGATACCCCATAAAGATGCCCCTTTCTGATCTGGAACAGGATTGGAAGGGACCTCAGAAGTCATCCAGTCCAGTCTCTGCAGCTTAAGGCAGGAGAGTCCAATCTACTTTTGAAAAGCTCCGGTGATGGAGCACCCACAACTCCAGGAGGCAAACTCCTCCATTAATTACACATTCTCAGCGTTAGAAAATTTATCCTAACTTCTTGGTTGGGTCCCTCTTTAACCAGCTTCTTCTTGTCCTGTCCTCTGGTGCTTCGGAGAAGAAGTCGATCCCCTCTTCTCGGTGGCAGCCCATCAAGGCCTGGAAGACAGGTCTCTAGTCCCCCTTCGTCCTTTTCTTTGATAGGCTAGTAATACGTCCCCTCCTCAGTTTCTTCATCATAGGATGTAGCCTCCAGGCATTCTGCACACTCACTACGATTTCAGCATCTCTTTTGTATCGTCCAGAACTGGACCAGAGGTGGGTTTCAGCAGGTTCTGACCAGTTCTGGAAAACAGCTAGCGGACATTTTGAGTAGTTCGGACAATCGGTAGTAAAAATTCTGACTGGCCCCACCCCCACCTATTCTCTGCCTCCCGAGTCCCAGCTGATCGGGAGGAAATGGGGATTTTGCAGTAACCTTCCTCTGGAGTGGGGACGGAATGGAGATTTTACAGTATCCTTCCCCTGCCACGCCCACCAAGCCATGCCACGCCCACCAAGCCACACCCACAGAACTGGTAGTAAAAAAAATGTTGAAACCCATCACTGTACTGGACCCAGCATTCAAGTGTGGCTTCCCTAATGCAATATAAACCGGCATGATCGTTTCTGGTGATCTTTGCTGTTCTCCCTCTGTTGATGCCACCCAAGACTGCGTCGGCTTTTTTGGCAGCTCCCCCTGATCCTCCAGTGCAAGGGCCTGTGTGTGTGTGGGGGGGTGTCCCCTCCCCTTCGCCCCTCCTCCCAGGCCCAGAGAACCTTCCAGGTTTTCCCAGCCCCCTCCCTCTCCCTCCCTCCCCCCAGTTCTGCCCCTCCCCGAAGAGGCGGAATGCCTGGAAGGGGATTTCCTGATGGAACTTTCGCTTTCCTTTCCCTGCCTCTCTCGCCGGTTGCGCCTGGTCATCTGCCTAGCAACAATGACGACACGGGGATATCTTTTTTTCTACTGGTTGAGCTTGGCCAATCGCCAGCCTGCTCTGGGTTGTTGCATGGTTGATTAACCCAGAGCGTCTTTTTCTTTGCTGCGACATCCTGAAATCGGAGTGCCGGTTGAGGATCGCGGCCAGGATGGCTCTGCGCTCTGCGCCCTTCCTGCTCCTGGTGTTGGTGTCCGTCGCTTTAGGAGAGAACCGCTTTGGTGAGTCCCCTTGAGGGCTTGGGGGGGGAGGGGTTCTGCCCCTTTTATCTGCCAGGGAAACTTTCTCTCCCCTCCCTCCCAAAGGTTGACAGATAACTCCTCCACTTACAACAGTTTGTTTAGTGACCGTTCAAAGTTACAACGGCCCTTGAAAAAAGTGACACGATCGTTTCCTTCACAATTACGGCCTTTGAAGCGTTCCCAGGATCATGTGATCAAAATTCAAATGCTTGGCAACTGCTTCACACTTGTGACTGGTGCTGCGTTCCTTTTGCAACCTTCTGACAAGGGTTCGACGCGCTTAACAACCGGGCTCCTAAACTTTCAACTGCAGCGATTCACTTAGCAACTGTAGCAAGAAAGGTGGTAAAACGGGGCAAAGCTCACTTAACAAATGTCTCAGTTAACAACAGAAACCTTGGGTTCCACTGTGGCCGTAAGTCGAGGACTGCCTGTATTCCCAGAAAAAGAATCCTGATTCAGTCCTCTTTCTAGTCCGTTCCTCTTCCCCCTCTGGCCACTCGGAGATTAGGCCCCAAAGCTGCCGCTGTTCCCCTCCCCCAACTCCCAGAGGGTGGCTCTGAGAACAGGGCAAAGGTCGGCCCTCCAGATGTCGGGGAAGTCTACCTGGGCACTCCCACAAAGTGGAAACGAGCATAGTGAATTCAGTCTGTCCTCCAAGAAAAGTCTGAATAATGTTCGATGCTACTCAGCTAGGAGTTTGCATGATAGAAACTGAAATAATTTTGTATGTTTATCTTTGGTTCCCCTGAGGGGCTTTGAAGGCGACAGGACCCTCCCCACAGAGGCGGAGCTTAGGGTGAAGAGAGGACCCCAGGTGAGCCCCCTCCCTACAACATGGTTGGTCTCAGCAGGAAGAGGGGGGTGTGGGGGGGGGTAGGCTGGAGAGGCCCAATGGGTTTCTCGGATGAGAGGAATTCTGGGAGTTGGTCCAAGTGGCTGAGTTTGCGAAACTCTGAGTTAGGCCTTTACATTGAGAGTCGCTGAGTTGGACAGCCAAGATCGCTCCCCCGCCACCCCAAGTTTCCGCCTTTCTTTGTGCTGACAGTGCAGGATCCGCACCGGAAGAGGATGATCTCCTCAGCATCTTCTGTAGAAAGAGAAGGGTGAGATTCAGAATACAAATAGTCCTCAATTTATGGCTGCAATTGAGCCCAAAATTGATGTTGCTAAGTGAGAAATTGGTTATGTGAGTTTTCTCCCGTGGTGAAATCCAATTTTTTTTACTGCCGGTTGTGTGGGCGTGGCAGGGGAAGGATACTGCAAAATTTCCATTCCCAACCCACTCCAGGGGGATGGATACTGCAAAATCTCCATTCTCACCCCCCTCCAGGGGGACAGATACTGCAAAATCTCGATTCCCACCCCACTCCAGGGGAAGGATACTGCAAAATCTCCATTCCCACCCCACTCCAGAGGAAGGATCCTGAAAAATCTCCATTCCCACCCCACTCCAGGTGGAAGGATATTGCAAAATCCCCATTCCCCCCCACTCCAGGGAGAAGGATACTGCAAAATCCCCATTCCCACCCCACTCCAGGGGAAAGATCCTGAAAAATCCCCATTCCCACCCCACTCCAGGGGGAAGGATACTGCATAATCTCCATTCCCACCCCACTCCAGGGGGAAGGATATTGCAAAATCCCCATTCCCACTCCAGGGGAAGGATACTCCAAAATCTCCCACCCCAATCCAGGGGAAGGATACTGCAAAATCTCCATTCCCACCCCACTCCAGAGGAAGGATCCTGAAAAATCTCCATTCCCACCCCACTCCAGGTGGAAGGATATTGCAAAATCCCCATTCCCCCCCACTCCAGGGGGAAGGATAGTGCATAATCCCCATTCCCACCCCACTTCAGGGGAAGGATCCTGCAAAATCCCCATTCCCACTCCAGGGGAAGGATCCTGCAAAATCTCCATTCCCACCCCACTCTGGGGCCAGCCAGAGGTGGTATTTGCCGGTTCTCCGAACTGCACAAAATGTCCGCTACCGGGTCTCCAGAACCTGCTGGATTTCACCTCTGGTTTTCTCCCATTTTACGACTTTTCATGCCATATTGGTCAAGTGAATCACTGCAGTTGTTAAATTAGGGAAACGGTTGTTAAGTGAATCAGATTTCCCCTTTGACTGGGCTTGTCAGAAGGTAGTAAAAAGAGATTATGAGACTCCCGGACACTGCAGTCGTCCTTAAATCAGGCATCCATATGTGAAACATGTAATCATAGGGATGCTGCAATGGTCGTAACTGTGAAAAATGCTCACAAGTCATTTTTTTCAGTGCCGTTCTAACTTTGAACAGACAGTAGGCGAATGGTTGTAAGTCGAGGACTACCTATAAATTTGGTGCATTGCCAGCGCCTGGGCCTTAATTGGGCTGCTGAAATGAAGCAATCTTGGGATAATCCCGGTGGGATTTTCTGTGGAATGAGAGTGAACCCCGGTGAATCCTGGGCTCAAAGCTGATTTCTGCTCAGATGGCTGAACTCTGGGGTGGGGGGTGGGGGAGTGGGACTTTTCCAGCTAGTGGGGGGACAAGGAAGAAGATTCAGGGGGGCTGCATGGCTTCATTGCTGCTCCTCTCGCTCCTCTCTTTGCCTCCCCATATCTCCCTGGCAGTCAGTTTGGGTTTCCTCCGAGGATCCCATGGTCTCTCATCTCAACCGGATCCCTCTTTCCCCCATTTCCTTCCCTCATTTTATAAAAGCTCCCTTAAAATGTGCACTTATTAACAATCCATGATGGCCGTCCGTGAGGTGAGAATGGATATTTTTCTGTGAATTGGAAGATGTGGGGGTGTGGGGGTGGGGGAAACCAGTTGGGTTTCTTGCTGTTTTTGAGCTTCTGGGGACGGAAGCCCATTTCTCCCTCTGGGACAACTGCAGCCTCCTTGGGGCAGAATCTGAGCCATCCAGTTACAGGGGCTGAGGGAGGCCTTGCTGGAAGGGGATACGGCACACTTGGGGGCAGCTGAGTTTCAGGGAGCTGTTACTCCTTTGGCCCTGCTTTCCCTTCCCTTCCCTTCCCCTCCCCTCCTCTCTCACCTTCAACCTTTCAGCCCTCCAACCTTTCAGGCCAGTGGTGGGTGTAGGAAGTTAGCACCCACCCGTTTCCTAGAAGAATGAAATATTTTGGGAAATATTAAAAAGGCAGAATATTATGTTTCCCTGGATGAGAAATGGAGAAACATGTTTTAAAGACAAAGCAGCTCCCACCTTCATGCCTCCCCCCCTTTTGTTAACGGGCCAGAGGCAGAAATTCAATCCTTTGTCAAAGGACCATCATCTGCAACACAATAGGACCCGTCTAGCAACAGAAACTCACCACATGGCACCTGGGAAGATTACATTAGCCAGCAAGGCTAGCTAAGACCTCCACCCCCTGGGAGTCTGACAACCAATCAGGATACTCTTTCGGGGCCCCAGGAAGTTCAAAGCCAGAAAGAGCATAAAACCCGGAGACTCGCTGTATCTGCCCCCTTTTCTGTTCAGGAACTCAAACCATGTGATCCTGTCCACCATTAAACCATCTTTCCAAGCAGTCTCCATGTTTCCAGTGTCTTTTTCCCCACTTGGAGCTGAACCCAGAAGGATATTTCTTCCAACAGTGGGTTTCAATTTTTTTTACTACTGGTTCTGTGGGTGTGGCTTGGTGGACGTGGCTTGGTGAGCGTGGCAGGGGAAGGATACTGTAAAATCTCTATTCCCATTCCACTCCAGGGGAAGGTTACTGCAAAATCCCCGTTTCCTCCCAATCAACTGGGACTCAGGAGGCAGAGAATAGATGGGGGCGGGGCCAGTCAGAATTTTTACTACCGGTTCTCCGAACTACTCAAAATTTCTGCTACCGGTTCTCCAGAACTGGTCAGAACCTGCTGAAACCCACCTCTGCTTCAGGCCCTCCAGAAGCTGATTTTTTGTCTCTCAGTTACTCTTTCCACCCTCTGCCTCCTCTTCCTTTCCAATCAGCTCCCCCTTTTTCTCTCTTCTTCCTCTGCCCCCCAGGTCTCTTCTTCTTCCTCCCCAGATGCCCCTTTTGTGCCCCATGTGCTCCATGTGATGTGCCCCCTAACTCTACCCCTCTGGGTCTCTTCCAGGTGCTTCCTCCCACTCCATGAAATATTTCTCCACCGCCATCTGGGATCCCGGTCAGGGGCTGCCCCACTTTGTCACTGTGGGGTACGTGGATGGTCAGGTCTTTGTTCACTACGACAGCCACAGCCGGAGGATGAAGCCTCGAGTCTCCTGGATGGAGAAGGTGGGGAAGGAGGATCCCCAATACTGGGACACAGAGACCCAGAAAGCACGTGGCCATGAGGAGGTGTTCAGAGAAGACCTGAAAATTCTGAGGAATCGCTACAATCAGAGTGAAGGTGAGTGATGGGTCGGGTGGCTCTTCCTGCCCCATATTTCCCCTAGGAACCACAGGGGACAAAAAAGCCACACACACCCCAGGGAAAGGATTGCTTCCACAATTTTAAAAAGTCTTTTTAAAATAATTTTTATTCTTTTTAAAATTAAAATAAGATTGTCCTTGCCCCCATAACTGATGTTTTCTGCAGATTGCAGCTTCTAAAAACATTTTCAAAGTTATCTATCTGTCTCTATATTGACAAGTGGTGCTCCTGGTTTCCTGTAGTCTGCAATTTTTCTTCTGGAAACCCGTTCCTCCTCCCAGACCATTCAAAGGGTGTTCCTCCCAAATTGTATAGCTGAAAGTCTGGATTTCCAGAGGAAAAAAATTGCAGACTACAGGAACCATTTGTGTTATGTCCTTATAAGGACATCCGCCGGGGATTGGCTAATCCACCGGCGGGAAATTCAAAAGGTGGTTTCTGGGCGGTGCGACTTGCCGGAGCGAATATAAGGAGAGCTCCGGCAGCGCAGCCGCCAGTCTTTTCTTGTGCTTGATAAAAGTGCTGAATGGACCAACGCTGGTCGCGTCTTCTTTTCCTGCGCCTGATCTAACAATTTGCACTACTCAGGTGACCCTGAGGATACATATAATCCTCCAAGTGGCTTCAGGGGCCTGGATAGCTCTGCAGACTAAGCACCCTAATGAACATCCAGCTGTCTGCAATTACTCCATGTTTGAATCTCACCAGGCTCAAGGTTGACTCAGCCTTCCATCCTTTCTAAGGTAGGTTAAATGAGGACCCAGTTTGTGGGGGCAATAAGCTGACTTTGTATAAATATATACAAAAAGTATGAAGGCTATTGCTTAACGCATTGTAAGCCGCCCTGAGTCTCCGGAGAAGGGCGGCATATAAATCAAATTTTTTTAAAAAAGGACCCTCTAAAAGGATGCCAATGACCAGCTGTCTGCGAGGAATATAAATCCTTCCATTCCCCACCATCCAGTCTTTAACTTTCTCTTAATACAGGTACTCAAATACATTTTCAATAGGTTTTGCCTACTTTAAGAGTTACTTAAGCATTATATATATATGTAAAAAAAATACATTTTCAGTGTAGTTCGACCTGTAGGGAGGAAAGAAATGGGAAAATCGGTAGGGAGGAAATTGGGGTGTCCGTGCCTCCCTCTAGTCTCAAAGTCCCTGCAGGGAAGAGGGTCTTGGTCACTCCTGACAACTCCACAAACCATCCTCATGTCTGTTTTTCAGGACTTCACATAATACAGTGGATGTCTGGCTGTGAGCTCTGGAGAGACGGGAGCAAAGGAGGGTTTAACCAGCATGGCTACGATGGGAGGAACTTCATCACCTTCGACAAGGAGACCCTCACCTGGGTGGCTCCCGATCCCCAGGCCCAGATCACGCAGAGGAAATGGGATGCTGTCCCAGGATGGAATCAGGGATGGAAGACCTACCTGGAGGGGGAATGCATTGAGTGGCTGGAGAAGTACTTGTCCTACGGGAATGAGACACTGCTGAGGACAGGTGAGCATCTGGATCCAGGCTGGACTTTCCTTCTTTATGGCCAGGTTTCATGGATATGTTTGCCTCCTTTGGATCCCTGGTGTGCAGCTTGGCTGCCTTAGAGAGAATCCTCCTCCTCCCCTTCCAGCACCTCATACATTAAATGGACCAGGAAATGCAGCCTTTGCCCAGCGAATGTCTGTGTGGCTCAGGCAGCAAAAGTACTTTTGGGTGTCCTGTTCACAGCTCACAATGAGGCAACAGGAACACTTGGAGTTTTTCAGTGAAACCCCCATTAGCCAAAGTAGAGCCTCACTTCCATGCATCCAATGAATGATGAAGCTCCCTGCCACACACACACACACTACTAGGGGACACCTACTATTAGTAGGACATTATCTGCCCCTCATGCAGGCAAAAAGGACAAGATTGAGGGGAAACAGACCAAAGATTCTGTGGATCTTTCTCTTAAACTTCATAATGCGGCCGCGCGGGTGGTTATGGGCGCAACTCGTTGTGCCCATGTGACACCCCTCCTGCGCGAGCTGCACTGGCTCCCAGTGGTCTTCCGGGTGCGATTCAAGGTGTTGGTTACCACCTTTAAAGCGCTCCATGGCATAGGACCCGGGTACCTCCGAGACCGTCTCCTGCCACCAATAGCCTCCCACCGGCCAGTTCGCTCCCACAGAGGGTCTCCTCAGGGTGCCATCGGCCAAGTTATGTCGGCTGGCGACACCCAGGGGGAGGGCCTTCTCTGTGGGAGCCCCAGCCCTGTGGAATGAACTGCCCCCGGAAATGCGTAAGATCTCCGATCTCTGGGTATTTCGCTGTGCACTCAAGACCCTGTTGTTCCGCCAGGCCGGACTATCAACAAAATAGTTTTAAATTGGGGTATTTAAATTTTTTGGGGTTTTAAATCTGAGCCAGTTTATTTAATTATTTTAAATTTTAAATTGTTGTTTGTCTGTGTTTTTAAATAGGCTGTACACCGCCCTGAGTCCTTCGGGAGAAGGGCGGTATAGAAATAAAATTATTATTATTATTATTATTATTATTATTATTATTATTATTATTATTATTATTATTATTATTATTATTATTATTATTATTATTATTATTATTATTATTAACTTCCTTATCTCTGGCTTTAGTGACTACCCCAGAAAACAACCTCCTCTCCACCTTCAGGAACACTTCCTCACTCTATAGGGCTTCCTGGTCACATTGTAATAGTGCCCCCTTTTCTGTGAGCTTATTGTTTTCACCTCAAGACCACCCTTCCTCCTGTTCTGCCCCAGCTTCGGATTCCCAGAGAATGTGACACACACCAAGCTTCGCAAACACTGTTTAATTCCAAACAAACCCCTTTCAAGAATGCAGGCTTCCCGTGCAAAGGATCCTTATCAAAATTATTAAGAACAAAGTCCGACAAAGGTTGGCAACCAGCCCAGAAAACCAGATATGAGAAGTCGCTCGCTCTCCAAGATGCTCTGTAGTAATGAGATGGTTGTTTCTAGCAAGAAAGCACTAGCTGCGTGCGACTTAAATAGGCTAAGGGAGTGGCCAATTATCCTCAAGCCCTATTCTCGAGTAGACTCCTCCTCCTGAGTAGCCACTCCTGCCTTTTGGCAGCCCTGCATGCCTGAGCACTGAGGAGAGGCTCCTCCACTTCGCTCTCTCCACTGGAAGAAACCTCTGGAGGTTCTAAAGGCCCTGGCTGAGTCTCTGCCTTTGGCATCACATCCACTTCGGCCTCCGTGAGCGCCGGCTGCGCCAGCTGCTGGCATGACACCACACCAGCCTCCTCGTCATTGGGATCAGCCACAATCCACCCAGGCGGCTGGCAGGCCACAACACCTCCCCACTTACTGCTCCCCTTTCCTTCTGGGTTCCTTGATCCCTCCAGGAATAGCTGGGTGATATCAGGGTAGATGGGCGAATCCCCCCAGACACAATTGCCAACAGCTTCTGCGCTGGAAGGATCATCTGACTCTCTCTTCCCTTGGCATCACCTTTCTCCCCTCCCTCTCCCTTGAGAGACATAATCTCTTTTCCAAATTGACTAGAGTGAGATTCCAAAAGCTCAGAGCCCCTTGCTTTGATTCTGGCTCTCCTGCTTTTGAAATTGTGTCTCTTGGAAAGTGGTCTGGAGAAGCCTCAGACTTCAGGGAGCAGGAAAGGACTCCATGAATAGAAAAAAAAAAAACATGTTACTTTTTTGAAAAGGAACCCCTAAAAAGCAGCTCCACTATCCCTCCCCTGAAGGGAGCAGCCCAAGATCACTCAGAGTTCAAAGCAGCCAGAAAGGAAATTCTTTGGACCTTCAATTTGCTGCTGGAGATTTTTCAGAATAGTCCCTGGGAAGGACCCAAAATCAGGAGTCTTTGTGGTTGAGCATTTTCCAGATTTGGAGCATTTCTCAAAACTCTTGGAGTGGGTAATCACTGCCTTAAATTTAAGCACTGGGAGATTTTTCTGCCCCCTTGAGTTTTTCATCCACTTTCCAGGCTCGGTAGGGGCTCAGAGCTAGTTCTGGTATTTTTGCAGAACCTCCAGTGGTAACAGTAAGCAGAAGGAAAGTCAAGGATGGGATGGAAATGCGGGTCTGCCGCGTGGATGGCTTCTACCCCAGGGCGATCGATGCCTCCTGGAGGAGGGACGGGGAGGTCTGGCTGCAGGGCACCTCCAATAGGTCTGTGGCCCCCAACATGGATGGGACCTACCACTACTGGCTCAGCATCCAGATCAATCCCAAAGAGAGGGACCACTATCGGTGCCACGTGGAGCATGACGGGCTGCAGGAACCTTTGGATGTGGCCATAAAAGGTAAGAGGCTGCAGGGAGGGAAAAGCAGGCAGAGGACTGTGGGAGAGAAATCAGATCCCAGTTCTGTCTAGATGTGACCCTACCTGAGCTTTTCCATTGTAGAAGTTGGTGGACCTGCAGGAATCAGTCCAAAGAATTGGCTTCAGATGAGGTAAAGCAAGCAACAGGCCTCATCGCAAGAGTTGGCCAATCCTGATGAAATGCCCTTAGAGCCTAACTTAGCCTTTCTTCTTCCCCTGTTTCCTACCTGCAGCAGGGGAGTTAGGCTGAGCAGAGATATACTCTTATTTAATTTTAGATTTGCTACAAAAATCAGGAGGTTGCCCCTATTTTGAATACCAAATCTTATTAAGATTAGTAAACTGCAACTGACTTCAGGAAATACATAAAGTGGCTAACTGATGCATCAATAGTTAGATAAGGGGCTCCTGGTCACATTTTTCTCCCATCAGAAACTAGCACAGCTCTTTCCCTTTAGAGCAGGGGTGTCAAACTCAAGGCCCGGGGGCCGGATGCAGCCCATGGAGTGCTTAGATCTGGCCCGCGGTCCGCCCTGGAAACAGCAGAGGACTGGCCCGCGGTGCCTCTGCCATCAAAAACAGAACTCAGGAGGGCTGCATGCGGCCCTCCTGAGCTTCATTTTCACTGGCTGGGGGTTGCAGGAGGCCCTCACAGCTGAAAATGGAACCCCCGAGGGCTCACATGGCCCTCCTGAGCTCCATTTTCACTGGCCGGGGGTTGCAGGAGGCCCTCACAGCTGAAAATGGAACCCCCGAGGGCTCACATGGCCCTCCTGAGCTTCATTTTCACTGGCCGGGGGTTGCAGGAGGCCCTCACAGCTGAAAATGGAACCCCCGAGGGCTCACATGGCCCTCCTGAGCTCCATTTTCACTGGCCGGGGGTTGCAGGAGGCCCTCACAGCTGAAAATGGAACCTCCGAGGGCTCACATGGCCCTCCTGAGCTTCATTTTCACTGGCCGGGGGTTGCAGGAGGCCCTCACAGCTGTAAATGGAACCCCCGAGGGCTCACATGGCCCTCCTGAGCTTCATTTTCACTGGCCGGGGGTTGCAGGAGGCCCTCACAGCTGAAAATGGAACCCCCGAGGGCTCACATGGCCCTCCTGAGCTCCATTTTCACTGGCCGGGGGTTGCAGGAGGCCCTCACAGCTGAAAATGGAACCTCCGAGGGCTCACATGGCCCTCCTGAGCTTCATTTTCACTGGCCGGGGGTTGCAGGAGGCCCTCACAGCTGTAAATGGAACCCCCGAGGGCTCACATGGCCCTCCTGAGCTCCATTTTCACTGGCCGGGGGTTGCAGGAGGCCCTCACAGCTGAAAATGGAGCCCCCGAGGGCTCACATGGCCCTCCTGAGCTCCATTTTCACTGGCAGAGGGCAGCAGGAGGCCGTCACAGCCGAAAATGGAGCTCAGGAGCCCGTTTTCACTGGCAGAGAGCTCAGGCTGCCACAGGAGGCCCAATATAGAATAGAATAGAATAGAATTTTTTATTGGCCAAGTGTGATTGGACACACAAGGAATTTGTCTTGGTGCATACGCTCTCAGTGTACATAAAAAGACAAGATACATTTGTAAAGAATCATAAGGTACAACACTTAATGATAGTCATAGGGTACAAATAAGCAATCAGGAAACAATATCAATATAAATCGTAAGGATACGAGCAACAAAATTACACTCATACAGTCATAAGTGGAAGGAGATGGGTGGTGGGAACAATGAGAAGATTAATAGTAGTGTAGACTTAGTAAATAGTTTGACAGTGTTAAGGGAATTATTTGTTTAGCAGAGTGATGGCATTCGGGAAAAAACTGTTCTTGTGTCTAGTTGTTCTGGGGTGCAGTGCTCTATAGCGTCGTTTTGAGGGTAGGAGTTGAAATAGTTTATGTCCAGGATGCGAGGGGTCTGTAAATATTTTCACAGCCCTCTTTTTGACTCATGCAGTATACAGGTCCTCCATGGAAGGCAGGTTGGTAGCAATTGTTTTTTCTGCAGTTCTAATTATCCTCTGAAGTCTGTGTCTCTCTTGTTGGGTTTCAGAGCCAAACCAGACAGTTATAGAGGTGCAAATGACAGATTCAATAATTACTCTGTAGAACTGTATCAGCAGCTCCTTGGGCAGTCAGAGAGGAATTTCCTTGGACCCTCAATTTGCTGCCGGACATATTTCAGGCTGAGTCCCTGGGAAGGACTCAAAATCAGGAGTCCTTGTGGTTGAGCATTTTCCAGATTCGGAGGATTTCCTAAAATTCTTGGAGATGCTGTAGGTGTGGAGTGGGAAATAGTGGGAGAGTTTCATGCCCCTTCAGGTTTCTCATCCACCTTCGATGCTCTGAAGGGGCTCAGAGTTAATTCCGGGGCTGCCGTTTCTGCAGATCCCCCAGTGGTGACAGTAAGCAGAACGGACGACAAGGATGCGATGGAGGTGCACGTCTGCCACATGGATGGCTTCTACCCCAGGGAGATCGATGCCTCCTGGACAAGGGACGGGGAGGTGTGGCTGCAGGATACCTTCCGTGGGTCTATGATCCCCAATGTGGATGGGACCTACCACTACTGGCTCAGCATCCAGATCGATCCCAAAGAGAGGGACCGCTATCGGTGCCACGTGGAGCATGACGGCCTAGAAGAGCCTCTGGACGTGTCCCTGAAGGGTGAGACGCTGCAAGGTGAGAAAGGCTGGGCTCTTTGGCAGGCTGGAGGATTGTGGGAGAAAAATCTGGCCCCAGCTGTGTCCAGCTGTGAGCCTATTTGTGGTTTAATCTATTTGTTTTTCCACTTTCACTTTCACCAAACAATCAGTCATATGGTCCAATCAGGATTCAGTCCAGTTGCTAGATGACTCCAGTCCTAGACACCTGGTGGGAAGTACCTTGGTTCCCAACAGAAAGTATTTTATTTTGGCTAGAGCACCCCAGCTATCTCTATTTCCCCCTCCCTTTCCCACAGTTCCAGTTGAGGCAGCAATGAATCATTTTTCCCCCCATCAGAAACTAGTATATCTTTCTCCCTTTACAGTACGATATCCTTCACTTAGGCCACAAAAATGAAAGACTCAAGTCTTGGGTGGCGGATACTTGGTGTTTGAAAGAAGACCACATATGAGTCAGAAGCCATTAAGTCAGGGGTGAAATGCTCCCGGTTCGGGAGCTCGAGTGAGTAGGTAGCGATGGGGGCGGGCAGTTCGGAGAACTGGTAGCAAAAATCCCTGCCCCCGCCCCCTATGCCCAGCTGAGCCGCACGATCATCAGAGCCTTTTTTTTTTCTTTTAAATGGCTGACGAGCCAAGCTCTGACGATCCCAGCTGAATTGCCTGCTAATCAGACAACTCAGCTTGGATCGTCAGACCCATTTAAAAGAAAAAAAGTTTTTTTCTTTTAAATGGCTCTGACGATCCAAGCTCTGACGATCCCAGCTGAATTACCTTAGCTGCTGGTGGCAACGCCTGCCTTGCTTCGCTTGCTGTAATTCCTGCAATCCATTGCATCAGCAAGCAACTGAATCTCCCTGCCTGCAATCAAGCTCATTGGTGAGCAGCTCTATCTGCCTGCCTACCTGCCTGCCTTCCACGTTCTATTGCAGAGGTCTCCAACCTTGGCAACTTTAAGACTTGTGGACTTCAACTCCCAGCAAAGCTGGCTGAGGAATTCTGGGAGTTGAAGTCCACAAGTCTTAAAGTTGCCAAGGTTGGAGACCCCTGTTCTATTGGGTAAGTTTTTTTCCCCTTTGGGAGCTTTAAAAAAAATAGTTAATTGGGTTTTTTTCTAGTTGTTCTTTTTTTTAGACCTAGCCGTTTATTTATTTATTTATTTATTTATTTATTTATTTATTTATTTATTTATTTATTTATTTATTTAAATTTTATACCGCCCCCTCTCCCGAAGGAATCGGGGCGGTGAACAGCCAAAATTAAAAAACACACAATACAAACATTAAAATACTATAAAAATGAAATTAAATTTATCTTTGGCTTATTTATCTTTAAAGTTTAGGAAGTTTTAAATTTAGCTGCTTTCATATAAAAATAAAAATAAATAAAAATAAAATAATATTTGTGCAGCTTTCTGAGATTTAGTGTGTTTCTGTAGTGTTTCACTCTAACTACACAAACACACACAATCTCACAAAGCTGTATGTGGAATTTTGTGTGTGTAAAGTGTGAAAGTTGTTTTTTGGGGGGGCTTTTTGGGGCTGTTTTTTGGGGCTTTTGGGGCTTTTTGTTCCTGCTTGTTGCAGGGGCCATTTTGGGTCTAGCACAGCTGCTTTTACATTGTGGGTGAGCCAGTTGTGTTGTGTTGTGTTTTGTAGCTTAAAAAAGGGCAAAGAAGTGACATTGACTTGGCCACGCCCACCCAGTCACCTTACCACCAAGCTCCGCCCACTAATTAAGCCACGCCCACAGAACCGGTAGCAAAAAATTTTAGATTTCACCCCTGCATTAAGTGTATGTGTGTGTGTGTGTGTATACACACACACACACACACACACACACACACACACACACACACACACACACACAAAGTTAATATATAGTTTTATTTACACAAATGCATATGTGTATATATATATCTCAAATGATGAAGGCAATTTTCTCCCTGTGTTCTGCCCTGATCCTCAAGAAAAACATCCAGTTCTGGACAAGCCCCATCAAACAGTTTCGGAGCAGGGGTGCTATTTAGCAAGTTCTAATCAGTTCTGGAGAACCGGTAGCAGAAATTTTGAGTAGTTCGAAGAAACGGTAGTAAAAATTCTGACTGGCTCCGTGACCATCTATTCTCTGCCTCCCAAGTCCCAGCTGATCGGGAAGAAATGGGAATTTTGCAGTATCTTTCCCCTGGAGTGGGGTGGAAATAGAGACTTTGTAGTATCCTTCCCCTGCCACACCCACCAAGCCACACCATGTCCACCAAGCCACGCCCACAGAACTGTTAGTAAAAAAAATTGAACTTCACCACTGCATTAAAGGGACATGAAGATGAGTTGCAAGACTTTTTAATTTGAGGAATTCCCAGTCCTTTGGCTGCATTAGGTCTCTCCTTTAATTGGGATGATTTTGGGGGAGGGGCTCCTTCAATGATCTGCTCTTTCTCCCAATTCTGTTCCAGAATCCAACCTGGGCCTCATCATCGGCTGCATTGGGGCTGCTCTTGCCCTGGTGTGTGTGATTGTTGGGACTTTGATATTCTTCAGTAAGTATCTTCTTCTGGGTGGTGGAAGGAATATGGGATGATTGCAGGAATATGGGTGATTCCTCTCCAGTCTTTCCTTCGGGGCTTCCTTCCTCCTTCCCTGTTTTTCTAGCCCTCTTGGGGAGCCGCTGAGATCTCAGCCTCTTCATGCAATCCTGTCTTCTTCTGAGTTGGGAAGAGGCATCCCAGTTCAGTCCCTCTCAAAGGCTTTGGTCAAAGAGCAGCAGAGAAGGATTTCCACGAAAACCTTTCTCCCCTCCCAGCTGCTGCTGCTGCTTCCCCCAATTCCCCTCCATCCATCTCGGAGGCAGCAGAGTTCTCTCTTGGAGTAAATCAGTTAGCTTCCTTGTAGTCTGAACGTCTTCCTGCGTCTGATAATGAGAGTGGCCAGGAGACGTGGCTAAAGAAGTGTAAACTTCTCTCCTGGGGCTCTTCCTCTTACAAGGAGAGAAATTGGGTGATCTCTGGTGGATTCTTTGGAGCTTTCACTGATTCTTCTCTTTGCAGAAAAACGTCGGAATGGCTATAAAGCAGCGTCAGGTGAGTGATTTGTCCTCTTTTCATGTAATCTCCATCTCAGAGCAGCCGCCAGAGGTAGCATCAGTTGGAGGCCATACGTGTGCATTTGGGCGTCTTGTCTTTCAAAACACAAAAGCAGCTCATGAAACGGCAGGGGGTTTCTGTGTTCCTCTTCCTCCCAAGAAGTTGTCTGGGGAAGGTGGGCTCCCTTTTCTTTACAGCCAAACTGTTCTTGGGAAGGAAGAGAGACCCCAAGGAGAAGCATCTGATACAAGGAATCCTCAAGAAGAATGAGAAGACCCGGCTGGGTGGACGATCCCTCTGATGAGAAGCTGTTCCGTTTTCCAAGTGGCTGGAAATCAACGGCTTGGCCATAACACGGTTAGGGAAGTCTGTGAAAATAGGGAACAGTAGTGACCATTTTGAGAGGAAAGGAGCTTCGATGATGTCATCTGGATCTCCTCTTGGTCTCCCATCCCAAGGCTCTCTACCTCTGAACTGGTTGGAAAAGGAGATTTTGGAACCATCTGTTTACTCCTGTCTGCCGTGACCTCTGGCTGAAGAACTGCTGAACTATTTGCTCTACGTGGGGAGATACAAGTGTTAAGAATTCTTTCCTATATTTCTTAACTTAAAATAGCTTGGTTTAATCTATTTGTTTCTGTGTATATGTTTGAAGGAAGGAACTGTAGTCAGAAAGAGCTGATGTACAAGTATAGACTAGGTGGTACCGGGCTCAGTGGTGGTAACTGGGAGACTGAGCTAGGTGTCCTAGTCACTTACGTTTGAGCCAGCGGCGTGTTGCAGCTGCCCCCCCAAAAAACCCCCCAGTGTCCTAGGTTGTGTCAACAGAGAGTATCAAGATCATGTGATGTGATTGTAGTGCTTTACACTGCATTGGTGAGACAGAATACTGCATCCATTTCTGGTCAACAAAATACAAAAAGATGCCAAGACTTTAGAAAGAGTGCAGAGAGGAGCAACAAAGGTGGTTAGGGGACTGGAGGCTAAAACATATGATGAATGATTGAGAGAACTAGGTACGTCTAGGCCAGGGGTCTGCAACCTTAAACACTCAAAGAGCCATTTGGACCCGTTTCCCACAGAAAAGAAAACACCGGGAGCCACAAAACCCTTCCCGTGCCTGAATATTTCTTGAACGGCCACAAAACTAGCATACATAGTTGAATTAAATGTTCTGTTTTCTTCTAAAACTTTTCTTTTCCTGGATTTATCCATGGTTGGCCTACCAGGGGTTGAAAAGCTCAATAAATCACATGCCGGCGGGTGTCGCACATTGGTGGTTGTGACGCATATTTTGAGTGACAGGGAGCCGCAGCAGAGGGGTGAAAGAGCCACATGCAGCTCCAGAGCCGCAGGTTGCTGACCCCTGGTCTAGTTTAATGAAGGGGTGAAATAATAACAGTCTTCCAGTATTTGAGGGGCTGTCACACAGGAGAGAGGGTTGATCTCTTCTCCAAAGCATGAGAGGGCAGGACAAGAAGTAACAGGTAGAAGTTAATTAAATAGACATCCAAGCTAGTGCTAAGGAGAGATTTCCTGATTGTGAGAACAATTACTCAGTGGAATGGCTTTGCTTCAGAAGTTGTGGGTGCTCCATCACTGGAGGTTTTCAAGAAGAGATTGGACAGCCATTTGTCTGGAATGGTGTAGGGAAGTGATGGCCAACCTTTTTGCCATCACTTGCCCGGTGGGGGTGGGGTTCGCGCGTGCATGCCCACACCTATAATTCTATGAGCCTCGCACCCACACATACATGCGTGACACCCCCCCCGCCCCCCCCATTCCTGGCATTTTCTCTCTGGTAGGCATGTTTTTCTCTCTCATCTGGCTCCAGAGCCTCTCTAGGAGTGCGGGGAGGGTGAAAATGGCCTCCCCCCCCTGGAGGCCCTCCGGAGGCCAGAAATGGCCCCGTTTGCCAACTTCTGGTGGGACTCTGGAGGCTGGGGACAGCAGAAAACAGGTCTTCCGGTCCCACCGGAAGTTGGCAAACGGGCCGTTTCTGGCCTCAGGAGGGCCTCCGGGGGGGTGGGGAAGGCCGTTTTCACCCTCCCCAGACTCCTAGAAAGGCCCTAGAGCCAGGTGAGAAAGAAAAACGGGCCTTCCCCACCACCCCCCAAGGCTCTCCGGAGGCAGAAAACAACCTACTTCTGTTGGGCCCAGAAGGCCCAAAAATCAGCTGACGCGCGCCGGAACTGAGCTCGCGTGCCCACTGATATGGCTACGCGTGCCACCTGAGGTTTGCCATCACGGGTATAGGGTCTCTTGCTTGAGCAGGGGATTGGGCTAGAAGACCTCAAGGTCCCTTCCAACCCTATTGGTCTATGTTCTGTGTTCTTCTTCTCTTCCCCTCCAGCCAAGAGACTGACTGACTTTCCCATCTTCTTTTCTTTCTACTCCAGCAAGCGACAACGGATCTGACAGTTCAGGCCCTGGTAAGTCAGAGGGAGCGGCTGCTGAATGCTCAAGAGCAATTCTGCTTCTTAGCAAGACTTTTTGGGGGGGATGGGAAGGGGTGAAAAAGGGAGAGACACCCCCCTTCCTGTTTTTAAAGGGCTTCCTAACACACACACACACACCATGTGTTCCCTCTGAGTCTGGTTCCAGGGAATGCCGAATACATTTGGTACCGTTTGGCCTGGTAGTGAAGGCACCTGGTAGAAACGAGGAGACAGTGAATTCTAGTCCCACCTTAGTCATGAAGAACTGGCCGGGTCGTTTTGGGACATTCTTTTCAACCCAACTCACCACACAGGGTTGTTGTTGTGGGAAAAATGGGAGGAGGAAGGAGTATTAGGTAAATTCATCACCTTGAGTTATTGATAAAAATAATAGAAAGGTGTGTGTTGGGGGGTGGAGAATAAATACTTGGAAGGAATTTAGATGAAGAATAAAAAAAATCTATTGAGATTGTGTCTTAAATTGGTATTGGTATTGTCTATCCTTTAATGCTCTCTACATGGGGCTCCCCTTGAAGAGCACTCGGAGGCTCCAACTTGTCCAGAATGCGGCCGCGCGGGTGGTTATGGGCGCAACTCGTTGTGCCCACGTGACACCCCTCCTGCGCGAGCTGCACTGGCTCCCAGTGGTCTTCCGGGTGCGATTCAAGGTGTTGGTCACCACCTTTAAAGCGCTCCATGGCATAGGACCCGGGTACCTTCGAGACCGACTTCTGCCACCAATAGCCTCCCACCGGCCAGTTCGCTCCCACAGAGAGGGTCTCCTCAGGGTGCCATCGGCCAAGTTATGTCGGCTGGTGACACCCAGGGGGAGGGCCTTCTCTGTGGGAGCCCCTGCCCTTTGGAATGAACTGCCCCCGGAAATGCGTAAGATCTCCGATCTCTGGGTATTTCGCTGTGCACTCAAGACCCTGTTGTTCCGCCAGGCCGGGCTATCAACATAATGTTTAAATTGGGTGTTTTAAATTTCTGGGGTTTTAAATTGAGCCGAATTATTTAATAATTTTAAATTATTTTAATTGATGTTTGTCTTGTGCTTTTAATAGGCTGTACACCGCCCTGAGTCCTTCGGGAGAAGGGCGGTATAGAAATAAAATTATTCTTCTATTATTCTTCTTTTAAGGCTGCTTTTCCATCTTTGGAGTAAAGAGCCCATCAGCTCTAGGGAGGAAAATAGGAAAACCAGCAGTGATGCCATGAGCCGGTTATGGTGGCCCAGGGGTGAAATGTAAAATTTGCTACTACCAGTTCTGTGGGCGTGGCTTGGTGGGGGTGGGGGTGGTAATGTGACTGTGGGCGTGGCCAACTTTTTAAAAAAAACTTTTCAAAGCATTTTTTCTAATGCTTTGAAAAGCCTCTGCCGATCAGGCAACTCAGCTGGGATCGTCAGAGACTTTTCAAAGCCTTTTTTTTTACCACCTCTTCGGCCAAGAGGTTGCAGAAAAAAATGCTCTGAAAAGCCTCTGACGATCCCAGCTGAGCCGCGCGATCATCAGAGGCTTTTTTTTTTTTTTTACTTTTAAAAGCATTTTTTTGTCGGAAGAGGTTGTAGAAAAAAATGCTTTTAAAAGTTAAAAAAAAAAAGCCTCTGATGATCGTGCGGCTCAGCTGGGCATGGTTGTGGGGCGGGGGGCAGGGGGGTGGAAATGAAGGGATTTTTGCTACTGGTTTTCCGAACCACCCGCTGCCATCATTACCGGATCGGGTGATCCCGTCCGAATTAGGAGCATTTCACCCCTTTGTGAAACTGCAGAGATAGAATGGTGAAGAGAGAGACATGTCCTCCTCAGGGGGACCTGGACAAGGTAGAGACTCACTCTGTGTCTTTCTCTCCAATGCAGGAAGCAACCAGGTCATTTAGCAGCCCCCTCGCAGGTGAGTTTCCCCCTCTGGAGGCTGTATGGGGGGAGAGGGAGGAAGGGAGGGGAGGGCTTTGAGATCCAAGGAACAACTGATGGTGAAGATACTTTGAGAAACCCTCTTTCCTCTCCTGTTCAACTCAAGCACCGAAAGGCGAGAAGTTTGGGGGAGGGCCATTGAGGCTGTGGGGGAGGGTCTGGTTGTTCTCCACACTCTTGTTCCTCAAGGCCAAAGTGTGCCGGCTTTCAGGATCCAACTGTCTTGGATCAGGAAGTCTTGTGCCATATCTGTCATCAGACATTGGCGATCATGTTGGCAATCCTATTTTTATCAACAGCCACACGAAAAAGTGCTGCTGAGTTTGGTCCAAATCCGTCCCTTAGATTTTGAAGCCATGACGTTCTTCGTTTGCCTGGAACCTCGTTTGCCTTCAATCTTTCCCTGGAGGATTAAATGACGGATGCCTTATTTTTCCGGGTGTCGCATCACATGTCCAAAAATAGTCTAACTTTCTCTTTTTAATGGTTTTGATGATTTCCCTTGGCTTTCTCAGGCGGCTTATCACCTCCTCATTTCTGGAGGTGATAATCAGGAGGTCAGAGACCTGCAAAGAGGACAATGCAGAGTCTGCAAAGAGGAGCTCGGAATGTTGCTAGTGTAAAAGGGACTACCTAAGGGTCCTACAGTCCTACAATCATGGATGGAGAGGGGGCTTCTCTCCCCTCCTTGATCCCATCTGGGAATCCCCTCCCTCCAAATGCTGAAGGGAAGACCTGAACAGAACAGAACAGAATAACAGAGTTGGAAGGGACCTTGGAGGTCTTCTAGTCCAACCCCCTGCTTAGGCAGGAAAACCCTACACCATGTCAGACAAATGGTGATCCAACATCTTCTTAAAAACCTCCAGTGTTGGAGCATTCACAACTTCTGGAGGCAAGTTGTTCCACTGATTAATTGTTCTAACTGTCGGGAAATTTCTCCTTAGTTCTAGGTTGCTTCTCTCCTTGATTAGTTTCAACCCATTGCTTCTTGTCCTGCCTTCAGGTGCTTTGGAGAATAGCTTGGCTCCCTCTTTCTTTGTGGCAGCCCCTGAGACATTGGAAGACTGCTATCATGTCTCCCCTCCTCCCTTCTTTTCATTAAACTAGACATACCCAGTTCCTGCAACCCTTCTTCATATGTTTCAGTCACCTAATCATCTTTGTTGCTCTTCTCCACACTCTTTCTAAAGTCTTCACATCTTTTTTACATTGTGGCGACCAAAACTGAATGCAGTATTCCAAGTGTGGCCTTACCAAGGCATTATAAAGTGTTATTAACACTTCACGGGATCTCGATTGCATCCTTCTGTTTATGCAGCCTAGAATGGTGTTGGCTTTTTTGGCAGCTGCTGCACACTGCTGACTCATATTTAAATGGTTGTCCACTAGGACTCCAAGATCCCTCTCACAGTTACTACTATTGAGTGAGGTACCAATATACTGTACCTGTGCATTTTGTTTTTCTTGCCTAAATGTAGTACCTTACTTTTTTCACCATTGAATTTCATTTTGTTAGATAGCACCCAATGTTCAAGTCTGTCAAGATCCTTCTCTATCTTGAGCCTATCTTCTGGAGTGTTGGCTATTCCTGCTAGCTTGGTGTCATCTGCAAATTTGATGAGTTCCCCATCTATCCCCTCGTCCAAGTCATTGATGAAGATGTTGAAGAGCACTGGGTCTAAAAAAGAGCCTTGGGGTATCCCATTGCATACTTCCCTCCATATAGATGCAGTTCCATTGAGGACTACACGTTGAGTGTTGGTCAGGCAGTTACGAATCCATCGGGTGGTGATGCTGTCTAACCCACATTTTTCCATGTTATCTAGTAGTAGCTTATGGTCTACTTTATCAAGTGCCTTACTGAAGTCCAAGTAAATTATATCGACAGCATTCCTCTGGTCCACTCATTTTGTCACTTTGTCAAAGAATGCAAATAGAAACCTGGGCTCTCTTGAGGCCATGAATCCATTTGCCCTTGTCTCTGGGGGCAACATGGACTAAAACTGGATGTGTATTTGAGAGGAGGCATCCATATATGTGAGGCAGGTTCTCATCCACCTCAGGAGCCAGTCCCAGCTCTGCCCCTCCCCTCTTGTAACTCTGAAAATCCCACCCAGCTGATCCCTCTCTTGAGGCTGCTGCTTCTGCTCTTTCACTGGGCTGATCTTTTCTGAACCCTCAGCCTGGACTGTGAGATTCTTCCTCTTGGCTCCCTCTCAGAATGACTCTGCCTGCTTTTCCCCTCCTCTTTGCAGCATGACTGGCCCAAAGAACCCAGCTGGCTTTCATGGCTGCGGCGGGACTTGAACTCACAGTCACTTTCTAGCCTAGTGCCTTAACTACTAGACCGAACTGCCTTGTGTATCTTCTAATAGATTTGTAATATAGCTTGTAGTACAGTGGTGGGATTCAGCCAGTTCGCACCACTTCGGGAGAACCGGTTGTTAACTTTCTGAGCAGTTTGGTGAACTGGTTGTTAGAAGAAATCATTAGGGCAGAGAACCGGTTGTTAAATTATTTGAATCCCGCCACTGTTGTAGTAGCTACGTTGTTGTTTTACCTTTAATGGGTTTCTGCTGATTAACGTGTTTTAGAGAAGGGCCCATGGTGAATGGGGGCAGAAATAGGATGAAGAGTTGCTGGTTTTACTTTAAGGAAGAGTGATAAATTGTTAGTGTTCATCATTATTGCTTATTATTCCCCTTATGATTGAAAGGGGAAGGTTTTTTCAGTCTCTTATTTTTCTTTGTATTAGTTGTATAATAGATAGTATGTACCGTGCATTGCCGTTTATGGATTTTCACAGTTTAGAAAAAAGAAAGAAAAGGAATCCTTCCCCATCATGATTTTTTTTCCTCCTGCTGAGAAACAGCTGATTTTGACACCAAAGCTGGTTATTTGGTGGCTTTGCCCCGTTTTATTTATTTATTTGGATTTTTATTTTTTAAATATACATCAATATCAATACATGAAGAGTGTGGCTTCTGGGCATGATTCATTTTGATGCAAACAACAACAATTGTTACAATAATCAAACATATAATCCTAGTATTAATATACATGTTTATTTTAGAGTACCGTATTTTCCGGCGTATAAGACGACTGGGCGTATAAGACGACCCCCAAATTTTCCTGTTAAAATATAGGGTTTGGGCTATACTCGCCGTATAAGACTACCCCTCTTCCAACGCACACCAAATAAAAATTAAAAAAACATCAACTGGCTCACCCACAATGTAAAAGCAGCTGTGCTAGACCCAAAATGGCCCCTGCAACAAGCAGGAACCTCACACAGCCCCAAAGAGCCCCAAAAAACAACTTTCACGCTTTACACACACACAACACAACACAACACAACACAACTGGCTCACCCACAATGTAAAAGCAGCTGTGCTAGACCCAAAATGGCCCCTGCAACAAGCAGGAACTTCACACAGCCACAAAAAGCCCAAAAACCCAACTTTCACACTTTACACACACAAAATTCCACATACAGCTTTGTGAGATTTTGTGTGTTTGCGTAGTTAGAGTGAAACAGTACAGAAACACACTAAATCTCAGAAAGCTGCACAAATATTATTTTATTTTATTTTATTTTTATTTTTATATGAAAGCTAAATTTAAAACTTCCTAAACTTTAAATGGCTAGGTCTAAAAAAGAACAACTAAAAAAAAAACCCAATTAACTATTTTTTTTTTAAAGATCCCAAAGGGGAAAAAAACTTACCCAATAGAACAGGGGTCTCCAACCTTGGCAACTTTAAGACTTGTAGACTTCAACTCCCAAAATTCCTCAGCCAGCTTTGTTTTGCTGGCTGAGGAATTCTGGGAGTTGAAGTCCACAACTCCCTGCCTGCTTGGTTGCAGGCAGGGAGTTGCTTGCTGATGGAATGGATTCAGGCAAGCGAAGCAAGGCAAGCAGCTAAGGCAGTGGTTCTCAACTTTCCTAATGCCGCGACCCTTTAATACAGTTCCTCATGTTGTGGTGACCCCCAACGATAAAGTTATTCCTAAAACCATCAAAAATATGTGTTTTCCGATGGTCTTAGGCCAGGGGTCCCCAACCTTTTGGACCTCAGGGACCACCAACTTCATAATTTTAAATTTCGCAGACCACTAATACGAATCCAGTGCCCCACTTGCTGATGCACCTGGACTCCCAGTACGGGATGGGGTCCTTCAGGCACTCTCCATCCTCTCTGTCTCTCTCTCTCTGTCTCCCACTTTTTCTCTCTCATTCTCTCTTTCTCTCTCTCTCATTTTCGCTTTCTCTCTCTCTCTCTCCCTCTTTCTTTCTCTCCCACTCTTTCTCATTCTCTCTTTCTCTCTCCCCCCTCTCATTCTCTTTCTCTCTCCCCCTCTCTTTCTCATTCTTTCTTTCCCCCACTCTTTCTTTCTCTCCCCTCTTTCTCATTCTCTTTCTCTCTCTCTCCCACTCTTTCTCTCTCATTCTCTTTCTCCCCCCTCTTTCTCTCTTTCTCCCACTCTCTTTCTCTCTTTCTCTCTCCCCCCACTCTCTCTCATTCTCTCTTTCTCTCTGTCCCCCTTTCTCTCCCCCCCCACTCTTTCTCTTTCTCCCTCCCCCTCTTTCTCTTTCTCTTTCTCTCTCTCCCACTCTTTCTCTCTCATTCTCTTTCTCTCTCCCCCTTTCTCTCTCTCTCCCCACTCTCTCCCTCTCATTCTGATTCTCTCATTCTGATTCTCTTTCATTTTCTCTCCCTCTCTCTCATTCTCTCTGATTCTTTGGTTCTCTTTGATTCTGTCTCTTTCTCTGTCTCTCATTCTCTCTCTCTCTCTCTCTCTCTGATTCTCTCTGTCTCTTTCTCTCATTCTCTTTCATTCTGTCTTTCTCTCTCTTTCATTCTTTGTCTCTTTCTCTCTCTGTCTCATTCTGATTCTCTCTCTCTCATTCTCTCTTTCATTCTTTGTCTCTTTCTCTCTCTGTCTCATTCTGATTCTCTCTCTTTCTCTCTCATTCTCTCTCTCTCTCATCTCATGGGCCAGCCAGTGTCTTGGGGCTGAGAGGAAGTCAAGCATCTCCCTGAGAGACTGAGGGCCGGAATGTGGGAGCGAAGCACTACTTGAACTTGTGCGGCATGAGCATTCGCCTTGGTATATTTGCGCCAGCCGATGGCCAAGGCAGCCCTCATCTGTCTGCTGAAAGTGCAGCATCAGGATTCTGCCTTGCTATATTTGCGGCGCAAGGCAGCCTTTGTTTCCTGCTGCTTGGGACTCAGAGCGGTAAATAGCGTCTGATCCGGAGAGCAGCTGGATTTTGCTCTCTAATCTGGATGCCAGATCGGCCCCCTGCAAACTCTCGTCTCTTGAGGAGCACTCCCTGAAGCGGGGCTGGAAACTTTGGTTGGACTGCTTGAGAGAGGAGAGCTTGCAGGGGGGCGATCTGGTGTCTGCAATGGAGAGCGGCATCCGGCTCTTTCTCTCCGCTGTAAGAGCATTGTAAGAGCGGCAGCCTTCATCTCCTAATGCTTGGGACTGCAAAATCCAGCTGCTCCCCGGACCAGTCACCATTTACCACTCCGAGTCCCAAGCATTAAGAGATGAGGGCTGCCGCTCTTACAGCGCTCTTATAGCGGAGAGAAAAAGCCGGATGCCGCTCTCCATTGCAGACACCAGATCGCCCCCCTGCAAGCTCTCCTCTCTCAAGCAGTCCAACCAAAGTTTCCAGCCCCGCTTCAGGGAGCGTTCCTCGAGAGATGAGATCTTGCAGGGGGCTGATCTGGCATCCGCAATGGAGAGCAAAATCCAGCTGCTCCCCGGACCAGTCACCATTTACTGCTCTGAGTCCCAAGCATTAGGAGATGAGGGCTGCCGCTCTTACAGTGCTCTTACAGCAGAGAGAAAAAGCCAGATGCCGCTCTCCATTGCAGACACCAGATCGCCCTCCTGCAAGCTCTCCTCTCTCAAGCAGTCCAACCAAAGTTTCCAGCCCCGCTTCAGGGAGCGCTCCTCGAGAGACGAGATCTTGCAGGGGGCTGATCTGGCATCCGCAATGGAGAGCAAAATCCAGCAGCTCTCCGGATCAGACGCCATTTACCACTCTGAGTCCCAGGCAGCAGGAAACAAAGGCTGCCTTGCACCACTCCTGACACAAATATACCAAGGCGGAATGCTGCTGCCGTACAAATGAAAGTAGTGCTTCACTCCCACAGCTTCCAGCCATCGCAAACGCCGCTTCTTCCCGCTTCTGCCGCCCCCTCCCCCACCGCCACAACAGCACCATTCATTCCGGATGGCGAGGGCTGCGCTCGTTTTTCTGTATTGCACCACCTGCAAAACCCCTGTGAAAGGGTTGTTTGACCCCCAACCACTGAGCTAAGGTAAGCAAGCTAGAGGGGGAAAAGTTTTTCCCTTCTCCATGCTCTGGCGATCCCAGCTGAATTGCCTGATTATCAGGCAAAGCTGGGATCGTCAGAGCTGGGATCGCCAGAGCCATTTAAGGCTCGTCAGAGCCTTTCGGGCTGGTCTGCCTGGTTACAGGAGAACGACACCCGGCGTATAAGACGACCCCCGACTTTTGAGAAGATTTTCATGTGTTAAAAAGTCGTCTTATACGCCGGAAAATACGGTAATTATTCAATATTTCAAATTTTCCATTTTAATGCCAATGATATTATTAAGCATACACAGTAATACCATCTTTCAACCTCTAATCTTTTCATCTAATTTTTACTTATGTTCTATTATATTATATCTGCTAATTATTCCCCCTATTTCTTATTTCTACCTCTATTCTAGTCAGGCCACCATTACTAATCCTAGTGTTAATACACATGTTATATTAAGACATAGTCCTTCATTATTTGATTATTCAAAATCACAATACGCCATTCTAGAACCAATCAGCCTCTTATTTAAACATACCTAATAATACCATCTTTCAACCTCCAATCTTTCCATCTAACTTTTACTTTATATAAAGGTGTGTATTCTTATTTCTACCTCTATTCTTGTTTTTAATCAGGCCATCATTATATTAGGAAAAAAAGAAAATGCCTTTCTATCCATCACCTCTTGCTCGTTTTAATACTTCAATTCTTATTTGTTTTTTAGCTTGCCTCCCATATTCCTTTCTTGGATCTTTGTCTCTATCAGCATCTGTGTCTTCACCATTGAATCTGAATATTTCTCCCATCTCTATCCTCCTAAGCTGCCAGATCTCCAGAGTGTCCACCCAAACCCCTATCTCCCTTTTAAAAGTATCTTCCAAGTTATCCAATTTCATTTTTAAATCTCTTAAAATACTTTTCCCTTGGTTTATTTCATCAGTCATAATTATCTTTATCGTCTTCTCCTTCTCATCTTCTTCCTTTATTTGCTGATTTGTCTGTTCTATCTTTTCCTCCATTCTTTTTGCTGTCTCCTCTCTTTCCTGGACTCTTTGATCTTCATTCATTATCATTAGCCATTTAAAAGAAAAAAAAAGGCTCTGATGATCGTGCGGCTCAGCTGGGCGGGGGGGGGGGGGGGGCAGGGATTTTTGCTACTGGTTCTCCGAACTGCCCGCCACCATCGCTACCTACTCGCCCGATCCGGTCCGAAGTGGGAGCATTTTACCCCTGATTTACACAGTATTAAACTATAAATCTTGCTCTTTATAGCTTTTTCCTTTTTTTTAAAAAAAAGAGCATCAATATTTATCTTTTATTTTTTTATTTTTTTTAACCCTGGAGGGAAAAATCCCTTTGCCTGTGGAACCTGTTGCTTAGCTGCTTCTCTTGTGCTTGAAGAGAGAGAAAAAAGTGTTTTTTGTGTCTTCGAAAGGAGATTAATTATTTTGGGAGATAACTGAAAAAAGAATGTTTTCCAATTTACAGGTTTTTATTTAAAAATATAAACAAATGATTCGATTGGTCAAGAAAGGTTCTGCATTTGGTTTGCTGGAAAAGATTGAAAAGAATATGAATATAAGAAACTCTGAGATTACAAGAGGTGACGAAAAATTGACTATTTTTTTGGCAAGAGAAATTCTCCGTTTCTGAGGAAAACTTTTCAACAACGAATGTTGCAGAGATGTTTACAACAGAGACTTATGAACTTTGGAAATGAGATGCAATTGTTGGTAAAGTTCCTAATTAGAAACCTAAGGAAAAGTTCCCCAATTAAGAACCAAACAAGGGTACAAGTAGTCCCCGACTTACAACAGTTTATTTAGTGACCATTCAAAGTTACAATGGCACTGAAAAAAGTGACTTAATATCATTATTCACACTTATGACCATTGCAGCATCCCTATGGTCATGTGATTTACCCTCAGATGCTTGACAACTGGTTCATATTTATGACGGTTGCAGTGTCCTGGGGTCATGTGATCCCCTTCTGGCAAGCAAAGTCAATGAGGAAGCCAGATTTGCTTAATAATGGTGTTAGTAATTTAACAACTGCAGTGATTCACTTAACAAATGTGGCAAGAAAAGTTGTCAAATGGGGCAAAACTCATTTAACAAATTTCTCACTTAGCAACATCCATTTTGGGCTCAATTGGTAACAGCCTTGGTAGTACAGTGGTTTAAAGCACCCTGTTATTAACACAGCTGCCTGCAATTTCTGCAGGTTCGAATCTTACCAGGCTCAAGGTTGACTCAGCCTTCCATCCTTTCTAAGGTAGGTGAAATGAGGACCCAGTTTGTGGGGGCAATAAGCTGACTTTGTATAAATATACAAAAGTATGAAGGCTATTGCTTAGCGCACTGTAAGCCACCCTGAGTCTCCGGAGAAGGGTGGCATATAAATCAAATTAACAAATAAATAAATTGTGGTCATAAATTGAGGATTATCTGTATTTCACCCGATAATAATGTATTTCACCGAGATAATAATGATTTGCAGTAAATAAGAAACTGTGCAGACCTTTATGAATAAGTGATGATAACAGACTGTTAACAGAGTGTTTTGATTTTTAACTATTAACTATTTTTTTAACTATTAATTATTTTTCCTTTCACCTATGTAATCTACAACAGGTCAATTAGGTTGCAAATAGATGGACAAAATTATAAATTTAGGACCTCTTTTGCAAGAGAGGAAGGTATTATTGTTGCAATAGTTTTCTCATTGTTTAACTGGGCGGGAGGGGATAATACGTTTTTGTCTTTTTTATTCACATTTTTGTTCAATGTTTTTATTCAATTTTGTTCTGTATTCTTTTTTTTTTTTTTTGGATTTTAAATCTTTTCAATATAATAAAATTGTTAATTCTAAGAAAAATAGAACAAGAGATCAACAGCGTGGTCAGGCTGCTTCCCCACTAACCATTGCACATATACTGTAAGGTTGACCCCCTCCTCTCTGTGGCAGCCCCTTAAGTATATTAGAATACTGTTATCATGTCTCCCCTAGTCCTTCTCTTCACTAGACTCTCTCTACACAGCCCCCTCGACGTAAAGTGGGGCAGGTTCCTCTCTCTTCCTCCGGAAGTCCAACACCATCCCATTGGTCTTGCTGATATTCAGGTGCAGGTTGTTTTTTACGCACCATGTGGGTAGTTTTTGAACCTCCCCCCTGTACGCTGTTTCATCTCCACCTTTAATAAGACCCATTACGGTGGTGTCATCTGCGAACTTAATGATCACAGTGGATGGGTCAGATGATACACAAAACGTGTGTACAGTGAATACAGGTAGGGACTAAGCACACAGCACTGCGGGGAGCCAGTGCTGAGCTTCAGGGAGGTGGATACGACAGACCCAACCCTCACTGTTTGTGGCCGGTCCCTCAGAAAGTCTTTGACCCAGTTGCAGATGGAAGAGGGAAATTCCAAATCAGGCAGCTTTTCGATAAGGATGCTCAGCAGAATGGTATTGAAGGCCGAACTATAGTCTATGAAAAGCATCCTGACATAGTTCCCGGATTTTTCCAGATGTCTCGCTACAGAATGTAAAGCAGTAGCTATGGCGTCGTTTGTTGACCTATTCCCCTTGTAGGCAATGCAAACTGATGTTTATCAAAGTCCAGTGAGAGGCATGTTCTAAGGTTGTGATGGCGAACGGGTGGCACACATAGCTATATCAGTGGGCACGCGAGCTCAGCTCCAGCACACATGTGCATGCCGGCCAGCTGATTTTCGGGCATTCTGGGCCCACCAGAAGTAGGGAAACAGGCTGTTTCCTGCCTCCGGAGGGCCTGGGAGTGGGTGGGGCAGGCCCATTTTTCTCTCTCACCTGGCTCTCTCTAGGAGTCTCTGGAGGCTGGGGACAGCAAAAAACATCATTTCCTGTCCAATCGAAAGTTGGAAAATTAGCCATTTTTGGCCTCCGGGGGGTGGGGAAGGCTGTTTTCGCCCTCCCCAGATGCATAGAGAGCATCTGGAGCCAGGTGAGAGAGAAAAAGGGGCCTACCGGGCCATCACATGCTGGGAATGGGGAGGGAGTCACACACATGTGCACAGGACGCATAGAATTATGGGTGTGGGCACGCACGTGCGCAATCCCCCACCCCCATCCCCTCCTGGCATGCGATGGCAAAAAGGTTAACCATCACTGTCCTAAGGTGTTGGAGAACCAATCTTTCGAAGCATTTCATCACTACAGACGTTAATGCGATGGGTCTGTAGTCATTAAGGCAGTTAATTGCTGTTTTCTTCGGGACTGGGACAACAGTGGCTGCTTTCAAGCATGATGGAACACAGGCCGGTTGCAGGGAGATGTTAAAGATCCTTGCCAGGACCCCTGCTAATTGATTGGCCCAATTCTTTACCACTATCCCCAGCACCCCACCTGGGCCTGCAGCTTTCCAAGGATTCACAGCCTTCAATACAGCTCTCACTTGGTGTTTGTAGAGAGTGGGTGGCTCACATGGCTTCCCTCACATACAAAGTAACACACACAAACTTATCCAGACAGTTTCAACCAAACAATGGCCTAAGGCAGGGGTCCTCAAACTTGGCAGCTTTAAGACTAGTGGACTTCAACTCCCAGAATTCTCCAGCCAGAAAGGCTGGAGAATTCTGGGAGTTGAAGTCCACAAGTCTTAAAGCTGCCAAGTTTGAAGACCTCTGGCCTAAGGGGAAGAATTCTTATCATTTATGTATCTCCACAAAGAGCAAAATTTCAAAAATACTTCAGCCAGAGGGCACCGCCCGTGTGAGGATAGATATTCAGGTCATGCTTGCCCCAAAGGTGCTTTTTTTTCAAGCGGCAACTGGACTTTCTGGTTTTTCTTTGAAGTCGTTTCTCTTCTCATCCAAGAAGCTGCTTCAGCTCTGGCTGGCTGGCGGTTTTCCATTCCCCACCATCCAGTCAGAGCTGAAGAAGCTTCTTGGATGAGAAGCGAAACGTCTTCAGAGAAAAACCAGAAAGTCCAATTGCCTCTTGAAAAAAAAAAAGCACTTTTGGAACAATAGATATGGCTGCAACGTTTCTTTCTCCTTACCAGTTCATACTTAGAGAGTCTTGTGGTGGAGACCAAGAGGAGATCCAGCTAGCATCCACCAAAGCTCCTTTTTTTTCAAAATACCTCCTTTTGATCACTACTTTTATGGAGCTTCCTGACCATGTTATGGGCAAGTCTTTCTTTTCTGCCTTTTAAGAAAACAGAGCAGCTTCTCAGCCAGAAGGATCATCCAGACAGCTGAGTCGCCTCACCTTTTTGGAAATTCCTTGTATCAGATATTCCTCTTTGGGGGCAGTGATGGGTTTCAACCAATGTAACAACTGGTTTGCTGCATTTCAGAACAGCTGAGGCACAGCAATCCGCTCTGCCACACCTATCAGCTGGGCTAAAAACGAACGAATATAGTGTTCTGTCCCTGTCCCATTCACGCACCCCCACAGACAGCCCGGAGTTAATAAGCCACACGACAAAATTCTTTGAAAATAAAGCTGGCAGCAACCCAGTGGCTAGCTGCCAATTCAGACTTTACTCACACAAAACAAAGATTAGACTGCAAGCATTCCGATAAAACAAGCAGAGTTTCAACAATACAAGGATTAATCCAAATGCAGTCCGATAAAGCAGGCAAAGTCCAGTAATGCAGAGATCATGGATTATTTCTAGTTTTTGCTCATCACAAACTGAACCGGCCACCACACCCACATTTATACTCTGTGGGGTGTGGTCCAGTGACTCAGCTAATCTCTGGCATGCCTTCCCCTCTGCTGCGCATGCTTCTCCCTGCGCCTCTGGCGAGGGTCCAGCCAGCACTTACCTCCTTCGTCACTATCCACCTGTGGCTGCGGGGATGTGCTTGGCTCTGAGCCTATCTTTTGGTCTTCAGTGTCCTCCGGAGGCATTGCCAGAGAGGAAGGTCCTGGAGAGCGAGGCCTTGCCAACTCCTCTTCCTCACTCTCAAAGTCTGCATCTGTCAATAGCCCAGGCTCAGGCAACAGAGCCACAACATATAGATAGTTATGGTGCAGGGGTGGGTGGGAGGGCCCAGCTGATGGTCAAAGTGAACCAGTTCACTCTCAGCTCACCATCGGAGCTACTGGCTCGCGCAAAATGGGGCAAACCAGTAGAAACCCACCACTGCTTAGGGGTCTCTATTCCCTAGAACAGCCTGGCTGTAATGAAAAGGGAACCCACCTTTCTCGGCTTAGTTCTTGGGAGAAAGACAGAGATAGCACAATTCTGCTATCTTTTGTGGTTGGGTGCTTTTGTGTTTGGGCGCACACACACACACACACACACACATACACCAGTGGTGGTTTCTCCCTGTTCCACCTGGTTCCGTCGAGCCGGTAGCGGTGACGATATTACGTCACCGAACCGGTTCTCTTTGTTCCGGAGCTGGGCCCTCCCGCCCCCTCCCACCCCCCACCACCCCCCACCCCCTGCCACGTTATTCTTACCTTTTATTTGGCCCCACCCCCAATCTATTATTGCCTCCTGAGTCCCAGCTGATCGGCTAGAAGGAAAAAAACTGTTTAAACTCTTGCCATGGGGCTTCAAAGGGCCACCCTACAGCCGATCAGTGTTAAAAGGCAGTGTGGTGGTAGACTGGTGCCTCCAAAAACAAATGAGTATGCCGGTGCCTGCAAAAATAAATGGGTAGACCAGTGCCTCCAAAAATGAATGAGTAGATCTGTGCCTGCAAAAATAAATGGGTAGACCAGTGCCTCCAAAAACAAATGAGTAGACCGGTGCCTCCAAAAACAAATGAGTAGACCGGTGCCTGCAAAAATAAATGGGTAGACCAGTGCCTCCAAAAACAAATGAGTATGCCGGTGCCTGCAAAAATAAATGGGTAGACCAGTGCCTCCAAAAACAAATGAGTATGCCGGTGCCTGCAAAAATAAATGGGTAGACCAGTGCCTCCAAAAACGAATGAGTAGACCGGTGCCTGCAAAAATAAATGGGTAGACCAGTGCCTCCAAAAATAAATGGGTAGACCAGTGCCTCCAAAAACAAATGAGTATGCCGGTGCCTGCAAAAATAAATGGGTAGACCAGTGCCTCCAAAAACAAATGAGTATGCCGGTGCCTGCAAAAATAAATGGGTAGACCAGTGCCTCCAAAAACGAATGAGTAGACTGGTGCCCGCAAAAATAAATGGGTAGACCAGTGCCTCCAAAAACAAATGAGTATGCCGGTGCCTGCAAAAATAAATGGGTAGACCAGTGCCTCCAAAAACAAATGAGTAGACCGGTGCCTGCAAAAATAAATGGGTAGACCAGTGCCTCCAAAAACAAATGACTAGACCGGTGCCTCCAAAAACAAATGAGTAGACCGGTACAGCTCTGCAAGCAGTTAAAAGCTTGGTAGACCAGTACCTCTGCTAAATCCTAAAGAATTGTCACATAACCATCAAACCACGCCCACAAAATAAGCCATGCCCACATAACTGGTAGTAAAAAAATTTAGAACCCACCCCTGACACACACATAATGCTAGCTCTGATCCCAGCTCAGAATTGGAGCTAATGTGTAAAGTTCATAAATCATCCACTTGCTGCCTTGTAGACATAAAGTTGAGTCAAGACTGAAGTCCCCAAAAGAGGCCAATATCTGAGATGCTCCCCAAAAGGACTGGGAAAACACGGGAGGATGAAGCCCAGAAGCTCCCCAAAAGGAGAGACTCAGGAGGATTTCTGCATCTTCCTTCAATCACCCCCCCAAAGAAGGATACTTGCTCAAGAATATCAAACTCCCAACAATCACACACGCCAAGACAAGAGCAGCCACAGCGCAGCCGATGATGAGGCCCAGGTTGGATTCTGGAACTGAATTGGGAGAAAGAGCAGATAATCGAAGGAGAACCCCAAACAATCATCCCAATTAGA